CATCACATTTTATAAGAGTTATAATTATTCAAAATGTTGCCCCTGTGGGGGGAGGTACTTGATGGAGTGTACCGATATTGTCCATTTTCGCACCTGATGTAGCACTGATGCAAATATTAGGATATGAAAAGCTGGAGCGAAATAGAATTATCATTTTTCTTTTTGTGCAGTAAATTATTTTCTTTGAAAATGTTGACATTTTGTGGGGGAGATACCAGAAGGTGTGGACCGATATTGCCCATCTCCAAACTCGATCTAAGTTTAATAATAATATTACGATGTGCCATGTTTGGACGAAATCAGATTCTCTCTCTTTGAGAGTTATTGTTCGCACCAGACAGACAGACAGACGGACGGACATCGCTAGATTGACTCGAAATGTTCTGAAACGGATTTGGTCAAAAGAGATCTAGGGTCTAAAACCGTTATTTCAATGAGGCACGTTTTGCCCATATCAAATGATATATACCCTCTCTAGACATATGGCATGGCATAGAGAGGCATGATAAAAAATAAATAATTTAAGAGCGGCTGATGAGCTATTTTGTTCATTTAGGTGTCAAATTCAGCTAAAGAATTGCACAACCGGTAAACATCATTGTGCAGGCATATATCAATTGGAAATGCAGGATTAATAGAGTTTTGTTGCAGATAAAATAAACCTCATCAAAATATTTCTGCTGTGAAGGTATTCCTGCTATTAATTTAGGTATCAAATTCAGCTAAATAATTGCACATCCGGGGAACACCATTGTCTAGGCTTATATCAATTGGAAATGCAGGAATAATAGACTTTTGTTGCAGATCAAATAAACCTCATCAAAATATTTCTGCTGTGAAGAATTGCTGTTATCTTATAAATGTTTTTTTTTAAGATGCTCTTCGTTTACTTTTTGCAATTTTTTCTACCTCGAGAGAAGAAATCGTATTCATTCTCAGTAGATTCTTACTGAGTAGATTCTTACTGGGAAATTAAACGTACAAACCTAATAATTGCGGGATTTTAAAAGTAAATACCATATCCATATGCCACATCCATATATCCATTAAATTCTTTTACATTCAATGGAATATCACATTTCCACGAAATCTTCTTTTTGAGACTTGGCCTTAATCATAATTTCCGTTAATGGCTTGGAAGATCAACAAAACTATTTTTAATTGGAAATTTTTATGTTCTACTTTTGTTTGTCTGTCTGTCTTTTTTAGAAAAATATCAAGATCAGGATAATATCACAAAAATGCAAACAAATATTTGTTTATACATATTTTTTTGTTTTTATTTTTTCGAACGGAAATTGTGATATTAACAATTACAACAACAACAACAGAAACACTGTATATGAGTAATAATAACAATACATAAGTTATGTGAAGTGCTGTTGTATTATTTATCAAAGCACTTGTCTCGCCATGTTTACTTGGCTTATTTAAACTGTTTATACCCTACAACACTATGTGTTGGAGGTATTATAAGTTTGATTGGGCCAAAAATTATGTAACACCACGAAATATTGGTTTCCCACATAGGAAAGTATATATGGATCTTCCTAGCTCGCCGAGCTGAGTCGATCTAGCTATGTATGTCCGTCCGTCCGTCTGTCCGTCTGTCCATGTTAATTTGTAATCACTCTACAGGTCGCAATTATGGCCCGATCTTCACAAAATTTAGAATGGAGGTGGGGCTAGGGTCAGAATAGAACCCTATTTCTTTTGGAGATGATCGCATAATATTTAGGGGTCGAAATGGACCAAAAACTGAAAAAATGTCGGATTTTGCAGTAGCTATACAGGTCGCAATTATAGACCAATCGACGCGGAACATCGCATGTAGCTAGAGTTTAGGGCGGGGAAGAAGCCTACCAATTTGGGTGGTCATCGGATAATATTTAGCGGGTAAAATAGACCATATCTTTTGTGTTGAAAAAATTCAAAATTTTTCATTAAACCGCGAATATTTTAAATCGCGGCGAAATCACAAAGCCATGACAAGGTTACTCCTGATCTTTTCATTGATGTTAACATCCAACAAAACGGATATATAGCAAAATATGTGCGATATATATGTCTATCAAAGAAGATATGCTTGAAAAATCTCTTATATGTCGAGAACGGCTGAACTGATTTCGACAGTTCTCATTAATTCAGAATGGCCTGTAGGCAGGAAAGAAACAACGTCTAAAAAATCGCATAAAAATATCTCTCTAAAGATGAAAATATTGATTTTGTAACATTTTCTTATATTTTTTCAATTTTGTCACATTTTTGGAATATTTTCATTTTGAATTAAACATTTGGTAATATTTCACCAGCTAACAAAACTAAGTAGTTAGGATATCAGGATATCATATACAGATCGCATTTATGGCCCGATCCTAACGAAATTTTGCATGGGGATCAGATGAGGGTCAGAATAGAAGCCTACTCTTTTTGGAGATAATCGCCATATATTTAGGGGTTGAAATGGACCAAAAAACTGCAAAATTGTCAGCAGGTCGCTATTATTGCCCGATCCTCACCCACATTTGAATGGGGGTTACTGGCATTGCCAACTTTTGTAGACAAAATACGAAAATGTCCATTCCAGTGACTTTTTGGAGAATTCACAAATACAGGAAAGACACACTTCTGACTATGTCGTTAACGCTGATTTCGTTGAAGAATATAGTCAAATGTCTGTATCTCATACAGATGCATTTCAGACAAAAACCAATAATATATGTTAAGCTTTTGCCACTTCTGAGAGATTATAGGTCTTGGGGAAATATTGATTCCAGATCTAGGAAGACCATTTAAGTGCAACATCTACCAATAAATTGGAAATGAGCAAATTAGTTAAAGTTGCTATTATTCGAAAATTAGAGAACGAAACCTGATGGTTTTCTTTTATTATTTGTCACAATATCTTGTGGAATTCTTTCGAGTATCTCGCCTATATAAACAGTATCGTTTATTATAGTGTTGTAGGGTATTCAACGGTCGGCCCCGCTCGACTGTAGCCTTTGCTTACTTGTTTTGATTGTAAAAATTTTATAATATTGTAAAATTGGGAAATAAATGAAGTTGGGTAGAATTTTATACGCATTACGCCATGGCACATAAAAATATAAATACAGGTTAAACGGAGGTTTTCTGCAAATCGTTCATAGATAAAATGCCTTAGGTAAAGCTTCCTTTTCAAAAAAAATATCCGCTTAGAGATAACCTTCTAAAGGGCTCCTATAGAAGGAAGATGTTCTAAAGGTATTCTATAGAAAGAAAAAGTTATTCTATAAGAAAACAAGTAAGCAAAGGCTACAGTCGAGCGGGGCCGACCGTTGAATACCCTACAACACTATAATAAACGATACTGTTTATATAGGCGAGATACTCGAAAGAATTCCACAAGATATTGTGACAAATAATAAAAGAAAACCATCAGGTTTCGTTCTCTAATTTTCGAATAATAGCAACTTTAACTAATTTGCTCATTTCCAATTTATTGGTAGATGTTGCACTTAAATGGTCTTCCTAGATCTGGAATCAATATTTCCCCAAGACCTATAATCTCTCAGAAGTGGCAAAAGCTTAACATATATTATTGGTTTTTGTCTGAAATGCATCTGTATGAGATACAGACATTTGACTATATTCTTCAACGAAATCAGCGTTAACGACATAGTCAGAAGTGTGTCTTTCCTGTATTTGTGAATTCTCCAAAAAGTCACTGGAATGGACATTTTCGTATTTTGTCTACAAAAGTTGGCAATGCCAGTAACCCCCATTCAAATGTGGGTGAGGATCGGGCAATAATAGCGACCTGCTGACAATTTTGCAGTTTTTTGGTCCATTTCAACCCCTAAATATATGGCGATTATCTCCAAAAAGAGTAGGCTTCTATTCTGACCCTCATCTGATCCCCATGCAAAATTTCGTTAGGATCGGGCCATAAATGCGATCTGTATATGATATCCTGATATCCTAACTACTTAGTTTTGTTAGCTGGTGAAATATTACCAAATGTTTAATTCAAAATGAAAATATTCCAAAAATGTGACAAAATTGAAAAAATATAAGAAAATGTTACAAAATCAATATTTTCATCTTTAGAGAGATATTTTTATGCGATTTTTTAGACGTTGTTTCTTTCCTGCCTACAGGCCATTCTGAATTAATGAGAACTGTCGAAATCAGTTCAGCCGTTCTCGACATATAAGAGATTTTTCAAGCATATCTTCTTTGATAGACATATATATCGCACATATTTTGCTATATATCCGTTTTGTTGGATGTTAACATCAATGAAAAGATCAGGAGTAACCTTGTCATGGCTTTGTGATTTCGCCGCGATTTAAAATATTCGCGGTTTAATGAAAAATTTTGAATTTTTTCAACACAAAAGATATGGTCTATTTTACCCGCTAAATATTATCCGATGACCACCCAAATTGGTAGGCTTCTTCCCCGCCCTAAACTCTAGCTACATGCGATGTTCCGCGTCGATTGGTCTATAATTGCGACCTGTATAGCTACTGCAAAATCCGACATTTTTTCAGTTTTTGGTCCATTTCGACCCCTAAATATTATGCGATCATCTCCAAAAGAAATAGGGTTCTATTCTGACCCTAGCCCCACCTCCATTCTAAATTTTGTGAAGATCGGGCCATAATTGCGACCTGTAGAGTGATTACAAATTAACATGGACAGACGGACAGACGGACAGACGGACGGACGGACATACATAGCTAGATCGACTCAGCTCGGCGAGCTAGGAAGATCCATATATACTTTCCTATGTGGGAAACCAATATTTCGTGGTGTTACATAATTTTTGGCCCAATCAAACTTATAATACCTCCAACACATAGTGTTGTAGGGTATAAAAACATTTTTAAAAACATTTTTAAAATTTTTTCCGAAGAAATTTTTTTAATGGCCTTCAGACAAAGAATGAAAGAAAGATTTGTTAAATTTTGATTTGTTTCAAGAGTTTTATTTTATGTTTTTCTTTTAATTTTCAGATTCCAATGGATTTTTATCGTGAACTAAATAACATTACCGATATTTCGGAATTCATAGAAAAATTTATTGATCCCGACAGTATAGATCCAAAACTGGGCATACATGGTAGGTCGGAAATAATTTTCACAAGAAAAAAACATACAACTCTAATCCCCATTTCATATTTCTTTACAGAAAACCTTCGCCGTAATGTTGAAAGAGGTAAATAATACCACATCCTTTTTGCATCCTATATATATTTTATTTAGAACTTAATTTTTCTGTTAACAAATTTCAGCATCTTTTGTCCGAGCCAAGTCAGCCAGTTGTATACCCGAACCAACCGTCGTTGATCTGGCACCCATCAATCCCAAAAATAACTTTTTCCCCAGGTGTACTCGTGTGAAGCGTTGCGGTGGTTGTTGCAACACCCCCTGGATGTCGTGTCAGCCGACTAAAACCGAAATTGTCAATTATCAAGTCTATCGTTATTGCTATGAACACGGGGCGAAATTTTGCGGTTTGGATATAATACCCGTCGAACAACATTTGGAGTGTAAATGTGATTGTCGGGTTAAGCCGACGGTGAGTTTAATTTTTTTTACAAATTGTAGGAAATTATGTTTAGATCTACAAGTGTATATGGGGCCTATGGAAGGTCTTCTAGCAGTGGAATACTTTCAGTAGGTATCCAATATACAGGGTGAGATGAGAAAAGTTTAAATTGCTGCCAAATTCAAATTGCTGTAATTTCTAAACCACTAGTCCGACAGCTGTTAAAATTATTCCAGTGACAGCTCATTATATTGTTTACAAGCGTACAAAAACATTTTGATGACAATTTTCCAAAAAAAATTTATTCGTGATGGAATTCAAGCGTGATAGTGTTTCTTTATATTTGGCTGGAAAACCACAAGTGGCTATGGTTAGAGAACTCCAGCATTTAAATGTGAATAAATCTTTTGTGTCTCGTATCATCGCTCGTTACCGCTCGCTACTAGTAGCGTAGCCCGACGTCAAGGAAGTGGACGGAAGAAAACCGGAACATCTTCAGAAATGGTTTGAAAAGTAAAGAAGATCGAAATCCGCATCGCAGTGGCCGAAAAATGGCTTGTGAGCTGAACATATTGCAATATTTCATTTCATTGAAATTGTAAAAAGTGCAAGAACTTGCACCGCCGCAACAGAAAGAAAATAGATTCAAAAGAGCTAAAGAGTTGCTTCGCTTGGCCGAAAGTGATGAACTGCCGAATTTGGTTTTCTCCGATGAGAAAATATTCGTTGTCCAACAGTTTGTAAACTAACAAAGTGGTCGTGTTGACTTGCCAAAGAGGTCAGCTGAAAATTTGCACCTTCGGTTGGCCACCAGAACTCAAGCGCTGGCCATGGTGATGGCGTGGTCCGCCATAACAGCCGATGGTCGTTCTAGGCTCGTATTAATCGACCAAAGCATCAGAATAAATGCCAAATATTATCGGGAAGATATTCTGGAGGCTGTATTAAAGCCCTGGGCACCCAAACATTTTGGCGCTTAATTTCCAGCGCACAATGGTCACCAAAATCTCCGGATACCAATCCGTTGGACTATTGCGTCTGGAGTATTTTGGAAAGCTGGATTGACACTAAAAAATACCAAAGTGTCGATCATCTCAAGCAAGCGCTTCGCCGGGAATAGGCCAAAATACCGCAGAGCAACATTCGGACAGCGTGTGACGGTTTCATTGCCCGTTTGAAGGGCAAAATTCGTGCCAAAGAGGACCAATTCGAACAAATCTAAACTTATTCTAAAATGTGATGCTATTTCCGACATGTTTTACTTTCATTCAATAAAATTTAAAAACAAATGTAAAAATTGTGGCGTTTGACTTTGTTGCAGTTTTATTATCTCACCCTGTATATACACCATGTAACACAAAATCAGACATTTAAAAATTAATGACAGAACAATGTTGGCTTGTGTGTTCGGGATACCGTAGTATTTATACATATAATTGAGTTTATGGGCGAGTAGAGAAAAGTAGATTCCTTTACTTACTCTCTCTCTCTCTTTCCAAGTACACAAAAATTTCCAATAAAAAAATTTCTGAATGTGGTTATTTTTTAGCAATTTTAGCTCAAATGAATTAAATAAATCTCATACACCTCTTCTTATCCCTCCAGGATTGCAATGCCTATCAAACCTATGACGAGTGTCGCTGTCACTGTACAAACACAGAGGCTCGTGACAAGTGCCTGGAATTGGAACACAAAGATTGGGATGAGAATTCGTGCCGCTGTGTCTGTCGACATCCTGAGAATTGTACAACCGGTTCCTATTATGATGAGAACCAATGCAAATGTCTTTTGGTGCGTATAAAACCGATACTAGTCTAATACGATATCTGTAAAATAGACGAACAACTTATTTTTTTGTATTTTGTTTTTTATATTATTTGTTAATTGTTATTGTTTATATCTGTTGAAATATGTGTTATATATTATTTTTTGTATGTTGTTATATATTATACACTAAAATATGTATCGTCAATGGAATTTGTATGTTTACAAATTGGTTATGTATTTTGTTATAGTTTATAAATGGGGTAGGGTTTTTGTAGATTGAAATCTTTTAAACACAAGGTGAAGGGACTTATTATTATTTAGATATAAATATTTGTAGTTATATTTTAAATAAGTAAGAAAGCTTATGGAACAAAATCCTACAGACAACGACATTGATAGTTATTGACAGTACCCAGTGATTTCACTTGAATTTTACATCTGATATGAAAGGACAAATCTGAATATTCTTTCAGAATTGAAAAGGATTAATACCACTGTGCTACAAAATTCAAAAATTTTAATAATTACAGGAAAAACATGTTGATGAGAAAAAGAAAAGGAAAAACACGTTGATAATGAAAAAAAAAGATAGAGGACACGTGTATCGACGTTTTTTAAATTTTAAAGTAGATTGGAGAGACTAGTTCCACCCCTAAACTTTTTTTTAAATTTTCGGATGATGATTCCTCGGATAACTTTCATTTTAGGTATATAATGTTTTCGGCAATATTTCTGATAATAATACGGGGACTAAAGGGGTATTTTGTGGCCATTTTTTTTTCCAAATATGGTTACAAATATAAAGTTTATATCGCCAAGTAGATTGGGGAGCAAGTTCCACCGTTTTTTTTTTAATATTCGGATTAAGATTCCTTGGAGTATTTGAATTTTAGACATATAGTAGCTTCGGCAATATTTCTGATAACAATACGAGGATTTAAGGATATTTTTGGTAATTTTTTTTAAATATGGTTTAGAATTCATAACAAGACAAAATATTCTAAAACATAATAAAAAAAAATAAAATTCTACTTAAGATCTACACAAAACTTCAAAAATCCAAACCTTACCTAAACGTCAGATATCCATAAACATTCAAAACACATGTTAATTCATACTTTTTGTGAATTAATCTTGTATTTATTCTCCTACAAAGAATCATTCTATACAAATGACGAAATATACAAAAATATTCTTCATCTAATTTTTATATAAGTCACCAAAAAAACCTCAATTTCGATTATTCATCGAGAAAATGCTGTAATCATTGTTGCCGAAAAGACGCTAAAATATTTCCTTATTTTTGATAAATATTTCCTCTACCTTTTTTATACTCTTACTCATATGGCTACAGAGGATATATATCATTTGATACGGCCAACATGCGCCTCATCGAAATAACGGTTTTAGACCCTACGTCTCTTTGGACCAAATCCGTTTCAAGACATTTGGAGTTGATCTAGCGATGTTCGTCCGTCTGGCTAGTACGCACGATAACTCTCAAAGGGAGTGTCCGATTTGATCCAAACTTGGTACATTGTAATATTATTATCAAACTTAGATCGAATTCTGAGATGGAATATTTCTGTCTGCTTCTTCTGGTCCACCTCCCCCACAAAATGTCAACATTTTCAAAGATAATAATTTACTGTATAGAAATAGAGAGGATAATCCGATTTTGCTCCAACTTTGCAGATCCTAATATTTGCATCAGATGCAAAAATGGACAATATCGGTCCACTCCATCAAGTACCTCTCCCACAAAGGGTCAACATTTAATTATAACTTTTATAAAATGTGATGTAAGTATCCGATCGCCTTCATATTACAGACATCACAATATTTTTATTATCCAAGGTCTAGAGTGAAGATGGAATATATAGGTCCACTCATGGTACAATGAATTCAAGGTAGGGCAGAACTACCATATGATTTAATTTTTTTTATTTTTCTGGCTTAATATGTCAACTTCATTTGCTTATGTGTGTGTCTTCTTTTCAATAATAAAAAATTGTTCAGAAAATATTCAAATTCGGATGTTTTCAAAATGCTTATTGCAACGAATGCATCGACAAAATCTACAGTTTTTGTCGCGAAATAAACCATAAGAGATATATAGAACATGATATTGAAAAGAAATTTTCACCATTCATTCAGTTTTCGCGGTTTCAAATTATTTATTCAAAATAAATTCAACAATTTGTTTGCTTTTTTATTGTTTTGATAGTAATTCTGACATTACAAGCCAAACAGGTAGACCTCTATACTTGCAATTTTTTCAAAGTTGACCTACCTTCTCTTCATTGTACCATGGGTCCACTCCTTCTGGCACCTCCCCCACAAAAGATTGAAATTTTCAAAAAATATTTTTTGCACAGAAAGAGAAACGGTATTCCGATTCCAAGAGCTAGGTCAGGTGCGAAAATGGACAATATCGTTCCACTGCATCAAGTACCGTCCCCACAAAGGGTCAAAATTTTGAATAATTTTAACTCTCATAAAATGTGTTGTAAGAGTCCGATTATCTATAAATTGCACACATCCCAATTTTTAAGATGGAGTATATCGGACCACTCCTTCTAGCACCTCCCCCACAAAAGGTCACAATTATCAAACAAAAAAAATTTCTGCACAGAAAGGGAAGCAATAATCCAATTCTGCTCTAACTTTGCAAATCCTAATATTTTCGTCAGTTCTAGGTCAGGTGCGAAAATGGAAAATGAAAATAATATAAGGGTCAATTTTTTGAATAATTATAACGTAAATATGATGTAAGATTCTAATAGTCTTCAAATTTCACACATCCCAATATTTGTATTAACCCAAGATCTGGTATTAAGACGGAGTATATCGGTCCACTCCTTCTTGTACCTCCCCCACAAAAGGTCGAAATTTTGAATATCCATTTAGCACATAAAATGGGAAATTAACATCCGATTCCATTTACACTTGGCACATCTGAATTTTTTTATCAAAAGAGGATATGTTATAAAGACGGTAGAGATCGGACCATCCCTTCTGGTACCTCACCCACCAAGTATCAAAGTTTTGAATAACCAAAACGTTTATAAAATCCGAAATAATCATCAGGTTCTCTTTATATTTCACACATACAAACATTTTTGCTAACGAAGATCTGTTGTGATAATGGGAAGTATCGACCCTCTCTTTCTGGTACCTTCCTCACAAAAGGTCGAAATTTTCAATAACCATTGAGCTAATAAAACACGAAATTGATATCCGATTTCATTCAGACTTGGCACATCTCAATATTTTTATCAACACAATATATGTTATAAAGATGATAGAGATCGGACCATTTCTTCTGGCACCTCCCCCACAAAAGGTCAAAGTTTTGACTAACCAAAGCGATTATAAAATCCGAAATAAGCATCCGGTTCCATTCATATTCTACACATCCCATTATTTCTACTAACACAAGATCTGCTATGAAGATGGGAAATATCGGTCCACTGCATCTTGTACCTCCCCAACAAAGGGTCAACATTTTGAGTATCCATGAAGCTCATAAAACACGAAATCAACATCCGATTCCATTCAGACTTGGCACATCTCAATAATTCCATCAACATAAGATCTTTTATAAAAATGATGGAGATCGGACCATTTCTTCTTGTGCCTCCCCCACAAAGGGCCAAAGTTTTGAATGTTTTGTTCTTTACAACTTGCTTTATTTAAATATTTCTTTTAACCAGAATACTGATATGAATATTTAATTCATCGAAATTTATGATTTCGCATAAAATTGGATATAAATGTTCGATTTCCTTCAAATTTTGTACATACCAATATTTTTGTCGGTATTAGATGAAGTATAAAAATGGAATACTTCGGTCCGCTATATCTGTTACCTCACGGATATTTTCACATTTTTCAAAAATTTGCACATATCTCATATTAAGTAAAGGAAGTAGTCGATATAGGCCAAATCTGGCACGTTTTAATATTTTTACAAGTCTTAAGTCAGAAACGAAAATAAAGGTCAACATTCAAAATAATCATAACTCAAGGCTGGGGGTATACATCTGTCGGTAAAACCGACTGATACTATTTTAATTGTTTTTAGTACATTTTAGTTCTTTTCGTATTCTTTTAGTACGAATTTCCAAAACTCAACCTTATTACACGCCTACGCACCAGACTGATTCTCGTGCAAAATTTCAAGATTCTAGAGTCAGTCGTTTCGTCTGGGCGTTGATTCCTGTTATTTCACTCTTTTTTATATGTTCGAGATAGAGTGTGCCAGTACTTTCAATATTCACACTAGTTTGATACAAAAAAGAACCTTCCAAAATGCAAAATTTTGACGTTTGGGCATGACTGGATCTGGGACGGATTTCATACAAAGACACACGTTTTCTAAACCCTTTCAGGAAAATCTTTGTGTATATCAAAAGCAGGGTGCATAAAAATCGTTAAGTTCGGCAACATCAAAAATAAAATTTTATGCAAATCGGTGTGCGGAATATGGCCCTTTGTTGTACATTTTTGGTAGGAGTGGGAAATTGTGACGGAAACCTTAAATGTATAATTGGAACATATACCATGGATCAAAAAAAAAACCAGATTAAACGTCAATCTGTATTTTCGTATTGGTTTCTATTTTGTTATTTTCCCATAATTTTATATATTATGTATATAAATATAAATTGATATTTTGTATATACATAAAAAATCTATACATATGTAAATATATGAGTGTAAAAATGTTATAAAATTTTACATGTATTTTTTTGTGTTTTGTTTTTTTCTTTTGTTTTGTTCTTTTTTTGTAGATATCTTCCATTGGCAGCGTTGATGGAAGTGAAGTGAATTAAAATCCGCACACTCACACACAAGAAATAATATGCAACTATTTACATACACATGCAAAATACACACAAACACATAGAAGTCCTTACACCCAATTAAATTAGTTTAAAACACCATCTGCAAGATATCGGGATTTAAAGATGTTTTGTTTCTTGCCAAAATACATTTTCTTTTCTTGTTTTGAAATTAAAATGCAATATCGAACATTTTTTGTATTTTTTGTGTTAGTCAGCCAGCCAGCCATTCATTAGATATTTTGTGATTTGCATTCAAAATGTGTCCACAACCATTTGATTTTTTATTTTATTGATCGTTTAATTGTATCCGCACAATAATGATTTTTTTATGAATTAACAAAAACGAAAAAACAAACTACTGAGTAAATTGTTGTTGTCGTTGTTGTTGTGATGGGTTAACACGCATTTAATTTTTGTTATTGAAATTACCCATGAGTAAGTAAGAATTTTTTGTATTATTATTACTTGTTTTCTTTAAGGTATTTTTATTTAAATATGCAACAATTTATTAATATTATTTTTTATGAATCATTTTATTTTATTATTATGTTTTAAGTTTTTATTAATGAGAAGTAGTCATTGAGTACGTATACTTATTGAAATGCCGATCCGATCTCTGTAACGTATACGCTCCCTTTTAAACTATTGCCACGACGCCTATTGAATCGTAATACATACCGACATTCAGACGATTTGGAAAATAAAACGGGTAAAGAAAGTCCTAAAGTCGGGCTGGGCCGACTTTATGATACCCTACACCACTTTGCATATTTAGTAAAGCTTCACATGACAAACAAACGTTTTTTCTGGCGAATTTGTTAGAATTATATCATACCAGCTAAGATTAACTACTAAGATAACTATAATTTAAAGTCCAAAGGACTAAATTTGCCAAGGCATTTGTATCTTTTCAATTAGGGCTTGTATTACCCATTTGGTGTACAATTAACTTGAAATAAAGATATATGGGAGTTATATCCAAATCTGAACCGATCTCGATAAAATTTGGCAAAGGTATTTCTGAGCTGTATTTAATACATATGTCTACTTTTCGGCAATATTTAGTGGGCGTTGTTTTAGTTTTCCACTTCGTTCGTTACACCTCTAAACATGGTGGCTTCTTAAAAGAATTTAGAGTCTTAAAAATATTTTTTTAAATTAAAAACAAGTAAGCAAAGGCTACAGTCGAGCGGGGCCGACCGTTGAATACCCTACAACACTATAATAAACGATACAGTTTATATAGACGAGATACTCGAAAGAATTCCACAAGATATTGTGACAAATAATAAAAGAAAACCATCAGGTTTCGTTCTCTAATTTTCGAATAATAGCAACTTTAACTAATTTGCTTATTTCCAATTTATTGGAAGATGTCGCTGGTCCATTCCATTTTCGTATTTTGTCTACAAAAGTTGGCAAACTCCTTCACACATTGAATATTTTTGGATGGCCATCCAAAACTGCTTGGCTTTTGCAATGTCCGGTAACCCCCACTCAAATATGCGTGAGGACCGGACGATAATTACGACCTGCGGACAATTTTGCAGTTTTTGGTCCATTTCAACCCCTAAATATATGGCGATCATCTCCAAAAAGAGTAGGCTTCTTTTCAGACCCTCATCTTATCCCCATGCAAAATTTCGTAAGGATCGGGCCATAAATGCGATCTGTATATGATATCCTGATATCCTAACTACTTAGTTTTGTTAGCTGTAGAAATATTACCAAATGTTTAATTCAAAATGAAAATATGCCAAATATATGACAAAATTGAAAAAATATGAGAAAATTTTACAAAATCAATATTTTCATCTTTAGAGAGACATTTTTATGCGATTTTTTAGACGTTTTTTGTTTCCTGCCAAGAAGCCATTCTGAATTAATGAGAACTGTCGAAATCAGTTCAGCCGTTCTCGACATATAAGAGATCTTTCAAGCATATCTTCTTTGTTAGACATATATATCGCACATATTTCGCTATATATCCGATTTGTTGGATGTTAACATCAATGTAAAGGTCAGAAGTAACCATGTCATGGCTTTGTGATTTCGCCGGGATTTAAAATATTCGCGGTTTAATGAAAAATTTTGAATTTTTTCAACACAAAAGATATGGTCTATTTTACCCGCTAAATATTATCCGATGACCACCCAAATTGGTAGGCTTCTTCCCCGCCCTAAACTCTAGCTACATGCGAAGTTCCGCGTCGATTGGTCTATAATTGCGACCTGTAAAGCTACTGCAAAATCCGATATTTTTTCAGTTTTTGGTCCATTTCGACCCCTAAATATTATGCGATCATCTCCAAAAGAAATAGGGTTCTATTCTGACCCTAGCCCCACCTCCATTCTAAATTTCGTGGAGATCGGGCCATAATTGCGACCTGTAGAGTGATTACAAATTAACATGGACAGACGGACAGACGGACAGACGGACAGACGGACGGACGGACATACATAGCTAGATCGACTCAACTCGGCGAGCTAGGAAGATCCATATATACTTTCCTATGTGGGAAATCAATATTTCGAGGTGTTACATAATTTTTGGCCCAATCAAACTTATAATACCCCCAACACATAGTGTTGTAGGGTATAAAAAAGTCAAAACCTAAAAAAATATTAAAGAAAATTCAAAATATCTTAAATAATCTGTAATTTTAATTTTATTTAATACTACGTTTATTGTTTTGATGGCTTTAAAAAGAAAACATGTCAACATCTCAAAAAATATTAAAAAATATTAAAAAAAATTCAAAATTAAAAAATATTTTTAAACATAATTTAGCAAAATTTAATATCTCAAACATTCAAAATTTTTAAAAAATATTTGTTTAAAATTCAATATTTTAAAAAAAAATCTCAATAAACATTTTAAAAAAAATCCACCATTACAAGGAGAAGCCAACAAATATTTAGAAAAAAATTAAAAATTAAAAAAAAATGCTTTAAAAAATTTGGGTCATAAAAAATGTTTTTAAAAAATTCTAAATCTCAAAAACTGTTTTCAAAATTGCTAAAATTATAGCTCACAAAAAAATCCACGTTTATAGCCTAGGTAACACCTCAAAAATTCAAAATATTTTAAATAATCAGTAATTGTAATTTTTTCTTTTTTTTTAAATACTACGTTTATTGTTTTGGTAGCTTTAAAAATAACAACATCTCAAAAAATATTAAAAAAAATTCAAAATTAAAAAATATACAATAAATAACAAAATTTAATATCACAAATATTCAAAATCTTTTAAAAAATATTTGTTTGAAATTCAATATTTAAAAAAAATCCAAAATTTTGATATCTCAAAAAATATCAAAACATTAAAAATCTTTGAAAAAAAAAATATTTGTATAAAATTCATTATTTTTAAAAATCCACAATTATAACGTTGGTTGTATCTCAATAATATTTAAAAAATCTAAATCCCAAAATATATGTATTTTTAAAAAATTCCAAATCTCAATAAATGTTTTTAAAACGTTCACCATTACAAGGAAACGCCAACAAATATTTAGAAAAAAAAGAAAATTAAAAAATTTGGGTCATAAAAAATGTTTTTAAAAAAAATCTAAAATGTTTTTAAAAATTAAAAAATTCCAAATCTCAATAAATATTTTTAAAAAATCCAACATTACAAGGAGACGCCAACAAATATTTAGGAAAAAAATGAAAATTTAAAAAATATGCTTTAAAAAATTTTTGAAAACCTGTTTTCAAAATTGCTAAGATTATAGCCATGGCGGCCTCTAAAAAAATAGTTTTTAAAAATTTAAAAATCTCAAAAAAAAAAAATCCACGATTATAGCCTAGGTAACCCCTCGGAAAATATTTTAAGAAATCGCTCAAAAAAATAAAATAAAATAATTATTCTTAAAAATCCAAAAAAAAAGTTCCCATCTCTGATTTGTGTATGTGCAATGGATTTATTAATACAAATTTTGGCAAAGAGATGAAAAACCCCCCAAAAAATTCCATGACGTTTTTGCACAACCTTCAACGAAAATGACCTTCAAAGAAATGTTTACGTTTTGGATGAAAAAATCCAAGTAAATTACCTGCAAAAATGGCCAATTTATTCCCACGATTTGATAAAGTCGTAATTAAATACAATAATTCTTCATTAGATTGGGTTTTTTGGGTATGGTATTTAAAAAGCTAAATTGGTCAAGGTTGATAATACTAATAAAACGGTTTGGTTTCCCGGAAATGGTTGGAATACAACATTCTGCATACGTATGGTTTGCTACTAAATTCAGCTTGACTGTCCTTTTGATCTAAATGCTTTCTTTATAACCAATTTTATTCCAAACAAAGCCAAGCGAAATGCTTATTCGCATTCAATTCAAAATTAATATTCAAAAGTGTGTTAATATAAGTTATTGTTGCATATTTAAAGTAAAATACAAATTCTTTAATTCAACTGTATATATATACTCCCCAAAATTTGCATGATCTTGCGTGTTCTATATAACATTCTAAAAATTTTATTTGGATCTCAATTAAAAAATTATTGCATGAATTTGATGTGGAAATGGTCAAAATTGAGTATTCATGGAATTTATTATTATTCGGATATCTATTAAAAACAATCTTACTTCTCTATCTATTACTATCGTAACATTACTTTATAATATAATTAAAAAAACTTGGAAATTTATTAATTTTTGTATTTTTCCATTTTTTAGCTATCAACCAATGCAGAGAACAGTGATGACATTGCGGTGGCTCCCTTATCCCTGGCGGATCGTCGACGTTTCATTGTCAAACCAATACCGGTCGATGCCGACAATAGCACAATTTATCAAGTATAATTATCCAGCTTACTTTAATAATTAACGTGTAATTTGTTCCATTTAAGTAATTGTTTTTTAATTATTTTCTTAAGCATTTATATAATAATTACAAAATATTTAGTTTAAAGTCGAAAAATTTAATGCCACATCATGACATTGTAGTGGCATCAATTAAAAATTATTAAATGTAGATTCAAATTTCTTTGGCAATTTTGTTGTTAATAATTCCAGAAAAAAATAATTTAGTGAAGATTGTGAAAAATAATTTTCAATGTAAACTAAAATGTCCTTTTAAATGTTGTCCAGTTAAAATTTCAAAGTTTACCTTCCAAATCATGAACGTGTTTTTTCTTTGTCTCAACACATATCTTGTTATCATATCAGTATTTAATACAATTATAATTTAAAAAATAATAATTATAAGTTCGTAAAAATATATATAGTGTCATAAAAATATATACATATCTTAAAAAAAAACACACCTAAATAACAAAACATTACAAATACCTCTGAAACGCGCAAAAAAATTTCCAAAATTGTAAAGCTGTTTTTACATTGGTCCACCCCAATACGTAACATGTTACTTTAGAAATTTAGAAAAAAAAAGAAAATATATTTGTTTTAATATTATACATAGTCATTGTTCTAACATAGCATATGTATCATTTTTGTATTTATGTACTTTAGTGTATTTTTAGTTGAAATTTCCACATGTTAACAACCATAGGCTATAAATAAAGTAAAATAAAATAAATGAAAACAAATATTTCTTTCAATAAAATTTTCAAAATATTTTTTGAACATCTCACTCATAAAAAATTCTTAAAAATTCACGATCAAGGCTATGGTGACCTTTCAAACTAAATGCCATTGCTATAGAGTACATGTTATGACTTTGGTAAGTTAAAATCGTGTGAAGCATATACAGGGTGAGGTAAAAAAACAAACAAAAGTCAACAAAGTTAAAAGCCATACTTTTTACATTTTTTTTTAAATTTTGTTTTATTTATTTTATTTTTATTTATTTTCAATTAGTACAGAAACCTAGCCGACAGGGCCATGGACGGTTCAAAAAACTTCTATACATGACTATTGAATTGAATGAAAGCAAAAAATGTCGGGAATTTTAGAATAAGTTTAGATTTTTTTTGAATTGGTCACCTTTGGCACGAATTATGGCCTTCAAACGGCCCGAATGTTGCTCTGCGATATTTTGGCCCATTCCTGGCGAAGCACTTGCTTGAGGTGATCGACACTTTGGTATTTTTAGTGCCAACCTTACTTTCCAAAATACTCCAGACACAATAGCCCAACCGATTGGTATCCGGAGACTTTGGTGACCATTGTGCGCTAGAAATGAAGCGAGAACATCATTTTCTAACGATTCTTGGGTAGCGCGTGCTAAGTGCGATGGTGCTGAGTCCTGTTGGAATGTCCAAGGTCTGCGGTCAAAATGTTTGCGTGCCCTCCAGAATATTTTCTAATCGGAGAAAACCAAATTAGGCAGTTCACCATTTTCGGTCAACTCTTTAGCGCTTTTGAGTCTATTTTCTTTCTGTTGCGATGTAAGTTCTTGCACATTTTTGAATTTCAATGGCTTTACCCCGTGCTCATTTTTCAATATTTGCCGAATGGAATAATGCGATATGTTCAGCTCACGAGCCATTTTTCGGCCACTGCGACGCGGGTTTCGATCAAGTCGCTTCTTTACTTTTCAACCATTTCTTTTGATGTTGCTGTTTTCATCCGTCCAATTCCTTTACGTCGGGCTACGCTACCAGTATCACGGTATCAAACGATTTATTCACATTTAAATTCTAGAGTGCTCTAACGATAGCCACTTGTGGTTTTCCAGCCAAATGTAAAGAAATCACACTATCACGCTTGAATTCCATCACGAATAACATTTTTTGTGGAAAATTCTCTCCAAAATGCTTTTGTACGCTTGTAAACAATACAATGAGCTGTCACTAGAATAATTTTAACAGTTGTCGAACGAGTAGCGTAGAAATGACAGCAGTCTGAAGATGGTTGCAGTCCTTTCATCTCACCCTGTATATGGGAACAATATCTAAATTTGGACCGAGTATCACTAATTTAAATAGGGTGAGCCCTTGGGCCAAACAAATGATTTGTTCAAAATTTCTTTGCGCCTGGTTAATAAATGCGACCTATACTTTGTTCACAAAAAATAATTAGATAAGCGGAATGACATACATATATAAATCGACTCAGAATGCGATTCTATATGGATGATCAAAAGGAACCATGGGTCTTCTCGCTTCCTTCTTCTTGTTACAAACAGATGCACACCACAATGTGGTGTAGAGTAAAAAAAATATTTTATAAAAATCCACGACTTGATGGTCTCTCAGGAATATTTTATAAAAATCCACAACTTGATGGTTTCCCAAAAATATTTTCTAAAAATCCACGACTTGATGGTCTCTTAAAAACATTTTATAAAAATTCACGATTTGATGGTCTCTTAAAAATATTTTATAAAAATTCACGATTTGATGGTCTCTCAAAAATATTTTATAAAAATCCACGAATTGATGGTCTCCCAAAAATATTTTATAAAAATCCACAATTTGATGGTGTCTTAAAATTTTTTTTATAAAATCTTTCAAAAATATTTTCTAAAAACCCACGACTTGATGGTCTCTTAAAAATATTTTATAAAAATCCACGACTTGATGGTATCTAAAAAATATTTAAAAAAAATTGAAGACTTGATGGTCTCTCAGGAATATTTTATAAAAATCCACGATTTGATGGTCTCAAAAATATTTTATAAAAATCCACGATTTCGTTCCAAAAGAATTCTTAAAAATCCACAATATCTATATCTCCATCTCCACAAACTTTCCTAAAACTGATCATGTTGATAGCAGCTGTTTAAAACTATTAAAAAAATTCTTGAACTTTCCCAAAATTATTTATAAAAATCAAAAAATGTTCTTCAAAATCTGCAATCTGGCTTTCAAAAACATTCTATAAATCGTCCAATTATTTTGAAGATCGTTCATTTGTTTGTTTTTTTAATTCACGATTACAGCTTGATGGAATGGCAATGAATGTTTGAAATAAATCCTCTATCGGTTAATAAATCCTCTACTTTTATATTTTTTTATAATTGCTCGTTTATTTAATATATATATTTTTTGTAAAATAAATGAAATATAAAAATATTTGTATTAATGGATTTATAACAAATATAATTATAAATTTATTTCTTTAAAATATGATTGAAGATTTTCAATCTTAAGTTTACTTTTTTAAAAACAACTACTAGATCAAAAAAATAAATGCATGGAAAATATCGTTTCATACTAAATATATATATGAGGAAATATCAGTTTAGATATGATTTTTTTATAAATAAGGAAAAAAACAAAAGGTATTTAAGGATTATAAAAAATAAAGAAATTTTCAGTATAGAAAAAAGATGCATAAAAAATAAAATATTATTGCCAAGTACTACTGGGTTTGTTTGGTTATAAAAAAACATAGTAGTTGTAAGATATGACAAGTTTTTTTTGTGAATATGACACAATTGATAAAAATTATGTATTTAATTATACATACTTAATAATTTGCAATCAAAAAAATAAATATGAAATTTATGAAAGAAAAATAAGAGGCATTAAAATGTACTTCTATTTTTCTTTGGGGAAAATCATGTCTTAATGTCCGCTACACTTAATCTTGAACTTACGGAGTAGTTTTTAAACAACATTAGATCTCTATACTGGAGGTAACTCTATCCAACATGTTCCCTTCTTAAGGGAAAATGCTGAAGAGAGTTATTTGTTAATAAAATTAAGAAATACACTTTTAAAATGTAATATCTAACAGCTTCCACTAAAATTTCGATTCGAATGAAAGGATTTAAAATTAGGATACATATATGTACCTATGTGCTATGTATTTGGCCTGGGCTAAATCATTGCATTCGAATCGAAATATATTTTTAAATTCACGACCTTAAAATTTTGTATAAATGAATAAAAATCCACAACTAAAATTCGAAAACAATTGGCATTAAGTTTTTTTGGGAAAAATCTAATTTCCCTCTTTTTAAAATACACATTTTTTTCGAATGTAAACATATATAAATTATTATTTTTGTAGAGAGGAATATTGCCGGATTTTGCATTGGGTATCATTTTATCTCCTCCTTAAAACCCAAAATTTACAAATATGTTTTTTTCGAATTTTAATTGGAACTAATATTAAATTCTAATAATTATTTAATAACTTTAAAAAAATAGTTTTATTTGTGTGCAGGATGACCCTAACGAAAACTTGTCATAATCTACAACATGCAACCACTGGAAATTAATTTGATTAACCTATTCAAAGAAAATCTAACTCTAAAACTAAAGTCTTTGAGAATTTGAGCAGTTAAACGAGACCATAAAATATTAAAAGAATTAAAAAAAAAGTGAAATCATAACCTCAAACTGCGTGCGGCACTACGCTTGGGTGCGGGTGGAGCTTGAGGTGAGTTATTTAAACGTTTCATGCCCGAAGCAGTACCCATCAAAGAACGGGGTTTACGTTTTGGCGTAGCAGGTGGAGTATGGGTAAATTTCGTGGGTGTTCGTAAATTGGCAACCGACAAATCCTCCAATGAGGTATGCCCTCCCTGCAATGGATCTTCATCATTAAGCAATGTTGTTGTAGCGTCCGATGGTAGTTGTCCACCAGCAATAGGTTCTATAACAGTTTCCTCAATATGCTCTTCCTCCATGTGTTGCGTTTGTGTCTCATTTGTCTGGGCCTCATCGGCCGTCAGAGCAAATTGTGACATCAAGTTACGACGAGTTGGAGTAGTTGCCACAATTGAACCATTTAGCGATTCATATATTATCAAGGCAAACTGCAATTGATTATCTTCCAATTTGCGACGATATGAAATGCGTACGCGTGTCTCTAACTCTGAACGATCACGCCATAGAGCACTACGTTGTTTGGCCATTACATTATTGTTACGCAAACGCATTACACCCTTCACTTCTAAATAACGCAGAGGAGTGTACAATGCCTCCATGACTTCCAATTCATCTTCTTCACTGGACGAATCATCCAAGAGGGTACGTACGCCACCTTCAATATTTTTATTCCGTTTACTGGTAGACGGTGCTGTGGGTAAACGTTTTAGATAACTAAAATTACCCGAATGTGTGCGTTTTAAGCGATGTCTTCGCATCATTGTTTCGTTGTTATCGATTTCTTCATCCTCGGATTTCCTATCATGCTCCTTTACAGCACTTGATGGAGGCGTAAGGTTACCAATTTCCAATGTACTGGTGTTACATTTTTCCGGTGTGTGTATGTAGGCCCCTGCACCAAATAAATTTGCCGACGATGATATCGTCGTAGGTTGTTCATTATCTTCAACATCACTGTCGGCATAGGATTTTAATGGTACCATATCTGGTACTCGATTGATAGGATGTACATGATCGATCGGCTTGGTCGAAATTACTTTCCTGGTAATGAAAATACAGGTGGGGTTAATAAAGTATTAGGTTTAAAAGATAAAATTACGGTCTTACGTGCGCATGTGACTGGTTTTTGTTTCGATGGGACCGCATACCTCTGCGTCCAGAAATTCGGTATGTTCAAATTGATTGTTCACTTCATGTCTGAAAGAAAACGGTATTTTTAAAAAAAAATATAATATTATAATTCTGCCAAGGTGGTGACATAATTGTTCGGCAGGCAAAACATTTATGCAAAGGTGTCTGGTAAAATGGGGACATTAATAACCTCCACCATAAGAAAGCCCAACCAATTCGTTGCAAATAGAGCGGATTCGATGCCGATCTTAATTTAATATATCATCCATTGAAGGACGTCTAAAACTGGCGACGAATGGCCCACCTACTTCAGACTTAGTAGACCTTTAATAGACCCCCTCCTTATTTGACACTTGGTTAGAGCCAAGACAATCTGTCGTTATCTGACAATTCCTGCTCATACAATAATAAACTTCATAGCTATCTCAACAGAAGTTACAATTGCGGGAGCAGTTACCCGATTTTTTATTTACTATGACACTTTGGGGCTTGGAGACATCAGTGGCACGGCCGCATCCAGCGCTTTTTGCTTCAGAGGCAATGAATTATCCGCCTTGTTTTTAGTGGCAGAATTTTGAAGTACTTCTTCAACATTACTTCTTTATATTCTATAGTTATAGCACATCGGGTTTCCCGCATTCCTCACCTTCTCCCTCAAAAGCATCAGAAACAGGGGCTTACTTTATAGGTGGGCGTTCAGAACAGGCCCGTTCAGCATCTCTCCTGGGATGTTTTGAGCCTTTCCTGACAGGCCGTCACCCTGATGTAGCCATCAATTTCAAGCTTTATCTTTAGACAAATGCGAAATTGATATTTAGAGATGTTGTCCTTGCAATAATAGCCTTACCAAAGTGAGGATGACAAGTCGCGATTCAAATATAAAAGGTTTTGAGTGTATAGTTTAGGGATTATCGACTGCATAGTTCAATTCGCAAAAATCCAATGCAAATAAACACAACCCATTGATGTCTACGTTAAAATAATAATTCTTTTGAAGGTGTCTACGTTCCAAATCAAAAGGTTAATAAATTTCACTCCTTGTCCGGGAATTCTAGAAAAAATATGGGTATTACTTTCTTAACATTAATTTATCTTTCTTTCCGCAGACGTTAGGTGAACCTATAATTTTAATAGCTGTAGTAAAATGAGCAAAATGCGTAGGACTAGGATATCATTCTTTATCCATATCCTCAGATAAGGTCGGTAATTGTCCTTTGACTTAGAAAACATTAATCCAATGATGTATGAATTCCAAAGCTGAACTCATACAAATATAAAGCTTACTTAACTAGTGACTACGATTTAAAACGTCTGTGAAAGTCATGCACATACAAATTTGATTATCGCTTTCGAAGCTTAGAACTAGCATATATAATTTCTAATGAAATCTGAAATTGATAATGTAGAGTATCGGTAATATTTGTTGTCTTGATAAAAAGTTTAACTAGCAACTATATCAAATCTATTGTGGTCCCAAAGCATCATTCATGTCACCTCTGGATTAATTTTTTTGCTATTAGTTCATAGATCTGCATACTCTTATTGCACTCTAAGGAGCAAAACTTTACACGACCTACCTTAAGTAATCATGAATTTTATTGGCACCACGCACAGTTCTTCCATACCAATCGATTACACTGTTTGGAGCCAAATGGTATTTAAAGTCAATGCTGCTTTGCTGAAATAGTTCCAAGTATTTGGTCAAAACATCTCGGGCCTCGGTTGCAGCATTATTCTGGCGAGCTGCAAAACAATAAAAAAGGCAAATAATATGTTTGATTTCTTTTTGTTAAACAGATAACAGGAAAAACTAACCTTCCATGCTGTTTGGCTTTGGAATAACAAACCGGCCGTGTGCGTCGGTGCGATCTCGTAGGCAATCTTAGACAAAATATACCGGAACAAAATACTGTTATTTCATCAACGAGTTCTGTATTTATAAAGAAAATGTATAGTTTATTGTGTAATTCCAACAGTATAGTATTTAGATTTCTATTTTTTATTAGAGAAAACTGCAGCAGCTGCCAACACTTCACACCTCAAATAAAACAATAAGAACGACGAACCAAACCACCTCAGCTGCTATCTGCTATTGAGTGTCACACTGATGTCAGAATGAAGAGAAATGCAAAGAGAGAAGACAAGCAACAAAAAAAACAATGGCAACGGCAATGTAAACAACAACAATATAAAAACACCCCTTAATGATGGGAGAGAGAGAGAGTGTTAGGTAAAAATCTCAGCAATGGAAATATTCTTATAAAAATCCCTCGCTATTTAGGAAATATGTATTTTTTTCCAAGTACCTATAAGGATTTCGACCTTATAATCTTTAAGAATATGTAATCTTACCAGGTAAATATAGCTAATTATCTTTGTTTCATAATATTACAATATTTAATGCAAACACTCACACACACACGTTCGATCTTTTACATGCATTCACCAACACCAAGCCAAAAATACGTTGAATTTTTCATCGAAGTTTTCACACACAATTTTAAGTTATTTATATATTTCAATAATGTCGTTTATTTGTACACAATATTCTTCTTTGTTTAATTTATTATCCAATTCACATTTTGTGATAATCTTGCAAGGAAGAGGATTATATTATTAACACAAAATGAAGAAATCCTGGTGGTGCGTGACAATGTTAAAAAAAGAAAATGACAGATATGTTGGCGCGTCACACAGCTGTCATCCGAGGGAATCAATCAACTGCGAAAAGTGTGTGAAGAAGGAATCGAAAATAGTTCTAAAGTAATCGTATGTTTACATTCAAGTACTTTATTGTGATTACCACTGATTAATGATTTATGGGACGTGAAGTGTTTAAAATGTAACTAAAATGGTAGAAACGATTCGAAAATAAATAGAATAAAATCTACCTTACTTTTTAAAATAAAAATTATAATTTATATATATTATTATAAATAAAATTGGGAAACGACACATTTGTAAGATATTTTATTTTAAAATGTTGCTGTACTAATGAGCCAAAATGGGCGAGAGATTAATAAAATAGCTAGATTTTTTTTTTTCCAGAAATATGAACCAAACGGTGTAATAATGAAATTTCAAGGTAACCTTGGTTAATATTATTAAAACGCCCACCATATGTTAAGTTTCTTCGAAGCATTGATTTTTAAAATTCTATGTTTTTTAAAAATAAATTTTTTGGGGAAAACCCTCAAAACATTAATGGATTATCGGAGTATCTCCGCCAAATCGTGTCGTATAATAAAGCTTATAATAATTTATCTACCTGTATTCTTCTACCATGATTTGACGTATATGCAATAGAGTTGACCATTCAAATCCACAGTGTTTGCTAAATCCGGTGAAGTGTAAACGTTTTTTAAATTCTGGTGGATAATCTTCACTAATGTAAATGTAAACCCAAACAATTGTAAACGGTTGGACTGTGTACTTGTATTGCAATTGTTCCGAATCTTTTACATTTCCCCTTTTTGCCGAATGTCGATATCCTCTTATTAACATATTTAATGTTTACAAGCGCCCATGGCAGAACGCTTGGGAGCATTGATATGTCAAAAAAATTTAAATGTTTTTTCAAATATAAGTAGATTTTTATATGTTTTCTTATACAATGTCATTCGGAGGTTATTATAATTCGTATTTTTCAACCATTTTTACAAATTTAAATAATTTTTCATTCAAAATTTTCAATTCCAAAAGTGGTTTGACAGTTCCATGTCCCAGCAGCTGTGTCGATGCGTCTAGCTATATTCTTCTACCATGCAAGCGCCGATGCATTTACAGGTACTCTCTTATAATGGGTCTGTTCCAGAACCTGCATAAATCTGCTATTTTTGCAATTTTCTTCGATATCATAAAGGGTAAATCCGTTATCGTGGTAAAAACGTTTACATTCTTCAAAAATATTGCTGTCATCGATAGTTGTCGCTCTACAAACTTCCTTTATTGCCTCAACATCATTTACAATTTCTTAGCATGTTGTGCTTACGTAATCCACGGGATTTTATGATTTTCGGTGAGCATTATTTAAAAATACAAATGTTTTTGGCTTAGAAATTAAAAGACTATCAACAAGCTGTAATCAAAATCGAAAATCGATTACAAAATGTCACCATTGCGATTTTCGACATCATCGACGATTAATAAAATGTCGACCTACACATTCCTATGTATTTGAATTCAAACGGTTCAAGCCGCGGCGACAGATTATACACGGACAAGCACACGCAGCGGGAAACTAACGTACTTTTGATCGAATGCAACAAAAACCCAAGTGAAAATTGTTCGGAAAAATAGAAGAAAAATTCCTTTGCACGCTCTTTTGTTGGTGTTTTGTTGCACGTTCGTGGAATTTGTTAATTAAAGAAGGAAATTCCGCGTATGAGTTTTATTGAGATTTCGTTTGTTGTTTTTGGTGTAATATAGATTTGTGTACTGTGTGTGCCGCCGCGTCGCGTTTCATATGTTGTGTATTAGTTATTACCTGCTGCCAAAAAAAATATAAGTGTTATCTTTATAAAGAGGTGTCGATCTCGCATTGAAATTGTCATTAGTGTTTTGTAAGTTGTTTCGCACACAAGAGAAGATTTTTCTGTTCGCAGCAGCCACCGCCGCAGGGCAACGAGAGAAGAAAAACTATTAGCCACCACCATCATCATCACAGGCAGACAGACAGACACCCAAGCAAAGAGTAGTGGCACGCAAAAAAGCAAATTATAAAGGAAGGGTAAGTGAATGGCCAGCCAAAATGAAAGAAACAAAAATTACAAGGGCTTTTATTGATTTATTTTTTCAACAAATTTACAGGTCACAACGTTTGTTTTGCAACAACAGACCCAGTTAGCCAGCTAACACCACAAAAAATGGGCGATTTGGAAAGTGTTCGGGTGGCCTTACGGGTACGTCCGTTGGTGCCCTCTGAGGTCAATCGCGGCTGTCAAGTAGCTGTGGAAAAAGTCGATGGCCAAGATCAGGTGGTGGTCAATAACAGTGATGCGTTCTCCTTTAATTTTGTCTTCGATTGGCGTGACACCCAGGAGCAGGTGTACAACATGTCTGTGTCGGATATGTTAGATAAATTGTTTAGCGGTTTCAATGCCACAATATTGGCCTATGGCCAGACTGGTTCTGGTAAAACCCATACAATGGGCACAGCCTTCGATGGGGAGTTGGATGAAAATGTTGGTGTTATACCGCGAGCTATGCACGATATCTTTGAACGCATTAAAAAACTATCCGATCAATATGAATTTGTTATCAAATGTTCGTTTATGGAACTGTATCAGGAACAACTATTTGATTTGCTGTCGAGTAAACCTCGTGATGAGAGCATTGTTGATATGCGCGAAGACCGTAGCGGCATAATAATGGTGGGCCTGACAGAGCAACAGGTCCACTCGGCCAAGGAGACAACAGATTGTCTGGTGCGTGGTTCGTCGGGTCGAGCAGTGGCTTCGACGGCCATGAATGAGGCGTCTTCCCGGTCACATGCCATTTTCACTGTTACCCTGCAGGCAACCAAAAAAGATGAATCGTAAGTATTGCTGTTCTCTTATCTGTTTGTTGTTGTTTGGCAATTTTATTTCGCTTTATATTTTTGCACAAGTTTAGGTTATATGTATGTGCTTGTAGTTGTGTGTGTTGTTTGATGTGAAGGTGTGCGTACGTGTGCGCGTCTGTGTTTTAAATGTTTATCAATTGTTTTTGTTTTTTTTTTTTCTTTTTCCAGGCGAGCAGTTACCACCTCCAAATTTCATTTGGTCGATTTGGCTGGTTCAGAACGTTCCAAAAAGACTGGAGCCACCGGTGATCGCTTTAAAGAAGGCGTTAAAATCAATCAAGGTCTCTTGGCCTTGGGTAATGTCATTTCAGCATTGGGAGGTGAGTTAAAACTTCTAAAAAAACATAAATCTAAAAACTTGTGATTTGTTTAGAGACAAAAATCACTAATCTTCTTATATATTGGGGTATTATTCTTGCGGAAGCTGATAACTGGTTATGTATTGTTTAGAAAAGCAATTCAAAACAAAGTTGTCATTCATTATTTTGATACCTCAATACCCTACAACAATGGCATTGTTATTATTGATTTCGCAAAGAGTTTGCTCGCAATTCAAAACAGAAATCGATATTTATACGTCCGATATTCAGTTGGGTTTATCAAATGTTGTGATGACCTTTGCATAACAAAGAGAGAATCACTTATCAAAACCATTGATTTTCAAGATTGGTATAAGTTTATTGAAAGTTATACTATTTATGGTGGAAGTATCTGATAGAGAAAGTCATATCTTCAAAATCGATCTATCAGTGAGACACTAGATAGCTAATGGTTCTTTATATATGTGTGGATAATTTTCAAAATCTAAAATCTGTATTAAAATACTTGATTTCAAAAAAATCTTGGATTGTTAAAACAAAAGTTTTTAGAGGAGCAACAGATATTTTTGAGAAAAATCATTTATTTTTATACCATCAGCCATATGGCTATATATCCTCTATATATCATTTGATACGGCCAAAACGTGCCTCATCGAAATAACGGGTTTTAGGCCCTAGGTCTCTTTGGACTAAATCCATTTCAAGACATTATGAGTCGATCTAGCGATGTCCGTCCGTCTGTCTGTCTGGCTGGTGAGCACGATAACTCTCGAAGGCAGTATCCGATTCAATCCAAACTTGGTACATCGTAATATTATTGTCCAACATTGATCGAGTTCGGAGATGGGCAATATCAGCCCACTCCTTCTGGTACCTACACCACAAAATGTCAAAATTTTCAAAGAACATACTTACTGCACAGAAAGAACACGGATATCCGATTTTGCTCAATCTTTGCGAATCCCAATATTCAGTTCTAGGTCACGTATCTCCCCCATCAAGGGTCAACATTTTGAATAATTATAACCCTCAAGAAATGTAATATAAGTGTCCGAATTTCTTCAAATTATGCACATCACAATATTTTTATTAACCGTGTGAAGACGGAATATATCGGTCCACTCCTTATGGTACCTCCCCAAAGAAGGTCAAAATATTGAATATCCATTAAGCTCATGAAACGCAAATTAACATCCGATTCCATTCAGACTTGGTACATCTCAATATTTCCAGCAACACAAGATCTATTATAAATATGGTAGAGATCGGATCATTCCTTCTGGTACCTCCCCCACAAAGGGTGAACGTTTTGAATTACCACAAAAATCATAACATCCGAAATAAGCATCCGATTCTCTTCAAATTACACACATCACAATATTTTTATTAACCCAATGTTTAGTGTGAATATGGATTGTATCGGTCCACTCCTTCTGGGACCTCCCCCACAAACGGAATTTATTATTTCTCATAATTTTGGATATAAATGGTCGATTTCATTGTTATTTTGTCCATACCAATATTGATATTTGTATTAAATGAAGTATGAAGATGGAATACTTCGGTCGAGTATATCTGGTACCTCACGCACATTTTAACATTTTCTAAAAAATATCACATATCTCATAATGTTTAGCGTTGGTCGTTCCAAAAATAGTGTAAACACCAATTATGAAGAAGTACCCTTCATATCATCCTTTTTACATTTTTTTTTCACACCCACCAAATTAGGACAAATTTTCGATTTTAAGTAGGGTAAGTGTGCCTAAGTTCGGCATGTCCCAGTAGTCGGCACTTTTTATTCTTAAGCCCATATAAATGAAACTATTATAACTAA